TTCTCCATAAAACGGTTCGTTTTCTTACCCCTTATATTTTCATTAATGAGCACAATCACAAGACCTTTGCCCATAGTTCTCCCTTACCCAGGGGTAGGAAAAATTTAAATGTCTATTTGAAAGCTGTTTGTTTAGGTAATTTATATTTACTTTCTCGTATACGTACGTAAATATGGAGCAACAGACGTAATATAAAGAAAGGTATGCTATGCTGCGGCGAATAGTACCGTCTTTTTAATAGAAAATCTCGTTTCGTGGCTCCCTGATATCGTTCAAAAGGATTTTTCTTGCTCCTATATGTGGTAAATTACTTTCTCTAAAACGTAGCGTAGACGGAATCCTCATTTAGTGATGCCTTAATACCGAAAAAGCGGTCGTTTTTCCCTGCCCAAAACGTCCGTCGGTACGTCTATCAGTCCATGAACAACACTGTAGCGTCTGAACTATCCATAGGATGAAATAATTATATGAATCCCAATCATTATATGACATCATTATATGCCAAGAATATTGTTCATTACGACAGCAACTTACGATGGCTTAGCCATCATCATCACTTTTCTGCTATTGATGATGATGGCTAAGCTATCAAAAGCTGCTATTGTAATAAACAATATTGTTGGCAATGACGACTAATATAATTATTTCATTGTAAATGCCAACGAAAACTCACCACAATACCAATATTCATAGGATGTTTGTCAACATGAATATTTCCCGATCGAGCTGATCTTGTAGCCGTAAGATTTGGAAACAAATTCTTTAAATTTTGGAATTACTTCACATAAAGCCCCTGGGACATTTTCAAAATTTTCTCAAAAATATATGAAATTGGTTCTTGAAATTTCTTGTAAGAATAGGGAAAAAATTTCTTGTAAGAGGGAAGTACATTTATAAATATGGCACAAGTCCGATATCCATTATTAACACTATATTTTCGAAAAATACATAAGTTTGAACCGTCTCTTTCAACTATATTATTTTTGTGTAAAATATTTGAATAAATGAAAATAAGCTAAGTTATTTTTGTCCTGGATTAGACACATTGCCACATACTCCGCCAGTAATGCTAATCACACGTTCCAAGCTTAACGAAATGATAAAACCAATCCTAATACGAGAACTGCTCATGCCGTAGAAGGTCAACCGAAAATCTGCATCTCCAGACACAAATCAAACACAGGTGTGCTAGAGAGTACAAGCTGTAAATAACATGAAAGCTGTTGTGACACGCTGATACAATGTGTTACAACATGCTCAGTATCTGCTTCTTTTTCTCAGTCCAGATTATGCACCTTTCCATAGGTACGTCAGAACTTGATTAATGGTACAATGTTAATTTTTTGTCTGCCCTGCAAAGTACACATTTTGCTTCCAAGACTAATTTAAATCACGGGCATAAAATTGTAAGCACATTGTTTGCCTTATACTTCATGAGAAAAAATAACGAACTGCACATCTTTACTATTAGAAAAAACTTCCATTAAAATTTTAATGATCTTAGGAAACTCAACTTTGCTATGTCGTTGAGTAACAATGGTACACACTCAGAATGTGAGATGAGTAGAACTCGCATTACTACCTAAAAACAACCACTTGTTGATGAACATCTTCTTCTGAACTTCAAGGATTAGGAGGCTGCTGTCCCTTCTTCACATATCAAACCATCTTCTGCGTTGTCTTCCTACACTCCTCCTTCCTGCTGGGTTGTACTGTAGCACTTGTTTAGGTAGCCTATTGGGCTCCATTCTTTCTAAATGTTTTTCCAGTCCTGTTTATATAGTATACAATCATTTCTTTATCTAGCAAAGTACAACCTTTTACTCTTCTTAAAAATTTCATCTCGGTAACTTAAATATTCATTTTTTTTTCTTTTTGAGAGAGAATCTAATTTACACTCCCATTTAGGACTACCTGAATATTGAATGAACAATTATTATTATTATTATTATTATTATTATTATTATTATTATTATTATTATTATTATACACTTTTTCTCGGTATTCGTCGGATTTTTTGACTGTGTATCTGGTTAATAACCAAGACACAGGTCAATTCGTTTCGTCGTAATTTAGGGACTTTCGCACAATCCTGCATGTGTCTAAGATGATAGATTTTTGCATCATTTTGTACGTATTTTTTGGCATTATTTGGTATTAAGTTCCATATTTTTATAGATCCTATGCCCGAAATAACTAAAGGAACAATATGAACTTCTTGGAAATGCCATAGTGCCTTAACTTCTGCTGCTAGTTCTGTGCACTTTATTATTTTTTCTGCATGTGCTATTTGAAGATTTGCTTCTTTGTGGAACAGTGATGTCAATCAGACAGCCAATTTTTTGCCGTTTGTCTAGAGAAGTTATGTCTGGTCTGTTCTGATGAATGGTTTTATCTGTGATAATTTCTCGGTCATAGTTCAACTTATTGTTTGAATTTTCAAGTACAGAATTGGGAACACATTTTTAATATGGACAGGTCGTTTCTTTTTGTTTGGATTTCCCTGTCAGTTTCTGATGAATTATATATTTACAACTTAATTGTGCCTATAGGTGTAATTTGTGTGTGCCATAAATTTGCATCCTGATGTGATGTTCTCTATGCTCTCAATTGTTGAATTTCATTTTCTACATTTGTCATTTATGTTGTCAGTTTGAGGTAATGTTTTCTGTAGTTTTTATACTAGTTCCTGAATCCTGTATGGCAACCCCGAATCCTTCTCCTTTGCTAAATATATCACCATATTTTAGCCAAGCGTTTAGAGGCTTTTGAGTCTACATGAGGTTGTTTGAGATCATTTGCATGGCGTCGATGGAGATTTTTTGAAAGAGAAGAAATGTCCACCTGTTCGTTGCTAAGGTTAAGAGGGGTTAATTTAGTATCTACTTGAATTATTTCAGCGTGTAATTCTGAGGTTGCCTGCTTCTCATAATGAAATTTCCTTAATGAACGGATTTGTTTGTAGCACTAATTTTTTAGATCTATTAGGCCTCTTCCTCCCTCATTTCGTGGAAGCGTTACTTGCTCTATTGCGCTATTTGGATGGTGATGTCTGCATTTTGTCGAAGTTGTGCACGCTAGTCTCTCAATGTCTTCGAGATCTGTGTCGCTCCACGGTATAATTCCAAATGAGTACGTATATACTGGTACTGCAAATGTGTAAATTGCTTTTATCACGTTCTTAAGCATTAGGGGCAAAAGGCGTTACTTTGGTTTTCAGAAGTGCAGTGATTCCTGATTTGTACAGTTTTGTTAGAGATTGTTTGATTGCCGCGTTGTCTGTGATTGCTGCCTGATCGCATCCTAAAGACTTGTACTTCATTGTCCATTGCCTGTCTTGTCGTTTGATCACTGAGTGTGCTGTCTATCTTCTATAACTCTGTTCTGTCTTCGTGAACTATCTTACATCTGTCAGTGCCAAAATTCATATGGATGTCTTCAGAAAATGTTCGAGTTATTTGAAGGGGATGTAGAAGCTGTCTGTTTGTCGAACTGTAACGTTTGATGTCATCCATGTACATCAGATGTGATATGGTGTGAATAGTTTTCTTATTTTTGAGAATTTGAAATCCATATCGAGAACGGGTAAGTTGTGTTGACCTGGGGTTTAGAGCCAGACAGAACAACAATGGGCTTAAGGAGTCTCCTTGGAAGATTCCTTTCTTAATTCTGATGTCTTCTGTTGTGATTGTTAAGTCTTGCAGTCTTAATGACAATGTTATTCAGTCATAATCTGTTCCAGAAAATTGATGATGGTTTAATTATATATGCGGAGAACTTCAAAAAGCCAACTGTGAGGAACGTTATCAAATGCTTTCTTGTAGTTAATGTATGCCAGGTGCAAATTTCTATGGTATTTATGCGCTTGTTGGAAAATGACCTTATCTGTTGGAAGCTGTTCTTTACATCCATTATGTAATCGTCTGCAACCTTTCAATTTCTGTTATTCTGTCATTATTTCTTCGTCCTAAATATAATCTTAGATTTTACTTGTAATACATTGTAGTAGTAATAATAATAATAATATCAACAATAATTTCTAGTCTTTTGATGTTGGTTGACTGTCTGAATCGACTTAATGATATGCTTAAGATAAAAGTGGAAAGACAGTAATGATAATGAAGTATGCATTTGTTTGGTGTGGTTGTCGAAGTGATGATTGAAGTATTTATTTTGTCGGTAGTTAGTATTTTGTATTTAGGAAAAATAGATTCTTAAAACATTTTATATGAAGTGTCCTCATTTTCCATGATGGAAGTATGGTAATCCTACAAGCATGGGCGGATCCAGAGGAAAATTTTGGGAAGGGAAATCAAAATGATATGGTCGAAGGTGTCATATTTCTGATATTGTAAAATGTCGTAGATTACACTAGCTCATGCAGCAATACGGTTTTATTCGTTTTAATGATTATCCTAAAATATTTTTGCTTGAAAGTTTCGTAACAAATTAAAATTAATAGATACTGATTTTTGTTCGAGGAGAAGGGAATTTCTCCCCATGGATCTATGATTGCTATGAGAAAATGCTTGGTTCCCGGGGATACCCCAACACCCCACCCATTTCGGCATATCGACAAAAAAATTATTACCGGTATTGTCTAATGAAGGACGCCAAACATTTTTGTGTCGACCATGTTACACCACCTGAATGTTTTATAATGATTAATTATCGTTATATGTAAAATGTTGTACTTGTGATCCCACCTCCCCCTACGGTCCGTGCGTATGAGTACAAGTTATATTTTATTTCTTACAAAACGATTCATTCATGCTTAATATCTATTTATCATCGACTAATATAATTCTAATAACAACACTACACTCGTGGGCTTTCTGTATACTAATCACAATCCTAGAATCAACACCCGTAATCCCAGTAACACTTCCGAGGTAACATACAGAAAACGGAATTGTGTGCATAAACAATTCGTGACTCGGTTCTGTTATTGCGGCTTCTGTTACTGCCTCGTGCCTCATCGCCCAGTGTCTCTTGATGACGCATTTTGTCTTTGTTCTTCCAGAAGTAAGTCTGGCAACACTGTGGCACGGAGCTGTCATTTGTAATCAGCTGGCGAAGCTGCTGAACCGTGCGCACAATGTTTTTAGTCGTAGCTGGACTTCGGTGAGCAGTAGTATTGGCGGTGCTTAGTTGATTTGTAACAAATCAGTCACGGCGAGGAAGATATAAAAGCACGAGGAATGCCGCTTACCGCGTAATTGGAATTGAAATGTTTGTCGTCTGTTTGAGAATTTGATGAAGTGCTCATGAATTTATGTGAGTTATTTAATACGAATTCGGTTTGATATTATCAAAGTGTCACGTAGGAATACTGTAAAAAAAGCACTGTAATAATTTAGTTTTCAGTAATTGATGATCCCTTTAATTCACAGAAAATCGTCTTTGTGTCAGTATTACTATAAAATGTGGAAACATCTCGAACCAGGCAGCTCACCTGTAGACTGGTGTGAAGGAAATTATTTAATCTCTCCTGTAATAGCAGAATTTGTTAACACGGTTTGTACCTTTTTTTTTTAGAGAAGTGGACAATTGTGAATTTATTGTGATTTGCATCTAGTGTTCATATTATTTTTATGTTCTTTGAAAATCTTTGGATGTCTGACCCTCTCTTTAATTCTGCTTTCAGCTGAGCAATATAATATTTTTCTTATTGCCCCCCCTGTTGATTCATTTATTCAAAGAATATGGAAAATTTGTAAACCCTGGAATACATATCATTTGGGCTCTAATGATTGTTGTTGGCTTGAGTTCAGCATATTTTCATGCAACATTGAGTTTAATTGGACAGCTTCTTGATGAACTCGCTATCCTGTGGGTCTTCATGGCAGCTTTCTCAATGTTTTATCCTAGACGTCATTTTCCATATGTATTCCAAAATAACAGGTAATTTTCTATGTATAGCATCTCGTATAAAATTGCTTTGTTGTGTACTTTATTAGTAAAGTTTGTTTTGATTTTCCATTTCAGGAAGCTATTCAGTGTTGCAACTCTTATTTTCTCTATTGCTGGCACAGGATTTGCAATTATGCATCCTGCTGTAAATGCATTTGCTCTAATGACTCTTGGAATACCAGCATGTTATCTGCTTATAGATGGACTGAAAAGGTGAGAAAAGAATGCACAGCACTGTGCTGAGTTTTGTTTTCAAATTTCATTAAAAGCAATTCTCTTTCACAAACTATGACATATTGGCATTTACCATAAAAAGTTTATTAGAACTGTAGAACCTCCATTATCCTATGTTCACATTTAAGTAGTTCACATTAATTGACTTCACATTGCAATTTTATTTGTGGAAATATTTTGTGATTTTTGTTTTTCTATTTAGAACTTTTTCTAATTTCTATTCTCATTTCCCATTATCAATTCAAAATTAATTCCCCAGTCAGTTGTTTAAATTAATAAAATCATCCAGATGTTTCTTGTAAGTCCTGTTGCAGACTTTTATTTTTCAATAAATTTCCTTAAGGAAACAAATCTCAGATACGTGCGTTCCTGAATCATCAATCATAGAAACCTCAGGTTCCGGAGATTCCACTGTTTTGGGAAACCAAACTTTCAATAAGTTGAAATGATGTTTACTTTGTCTATTCTTTCAAGAATTTATATTCAAAATGTGTACTTGTCCTTGTGTTTTCCTTTCAAAAAAAAATTCTTGTAAAAATCTGAAACAAAAGATTTTCTGCAATTTTATTTTGTAAAATAAATATGAGCTGTTATTAATTAGACTTCTTTTAATAAGTAATTAATTCAAAAGGTTTTCATTTTAATTTTCTGAAATTTTAATACAAGATTTGTTTTGTGAACTGGATTTTAATTTGCATTCTTTTCCTGCTCATTATGACTTTCCCATCCACTCTTACAAAATTAGTTATTCTTATTATTTAGGTATACCTATTTTAGTAAATATTTCATTGTGTACAATTTCATGAATTGAGGTTGTTTTAATTCAATTACAATAAGAGCTTTTTTTGCAATATAATTGTGGATGCTTAGTAGATTTTATTTGAAAACAATAAAACCTATTAATGGCACAACATTTTTGACTTTACAAGTGATGTGTAATGATCCAAACCTCCTTTATAAAGTAAATTATTAAATTGAATCGCTTTTTAAAATTTTGCGTCCTTTTCATATCCTCTGCTTAAATTGAAAACCCAACTGACACTACAACTTTCGAACCATGTTTACTATACCTTGAAGGAGTTTCATACTAGTAAAACATATTGCATTATTATAAATTAATTCTACAAGATATATTATTGGTGATGAATATAAGAATACTTATTTTTAGAAAACAACTCCATTTGCAAATTAAAATTGTTAATAATTTAGTTCATTACTCATTAAATTTTGAAAACATGATTCCAAATTTTGTGTATAAAGTTGTCTTGTAATCTTAAAATTTAATTAATTATGATCTATCTCTGTAGATGTCGCTGTGGACGTGTCCTCAGACTGGGTGTTCGCTCTGCCAGTATGTGGTTTATTGCTGTCTTCTGTTGGCTGAGTGATAGGTTGTTCTGTGACGCATGGTCAGCAATCAACTTTCCCTACCTTCATGCTCTTTGGCATATATTCATATTCATTGCTTCTTACACAGCATTGGTATTATTTGCTTATTTTGCTGTCAAAGATGAATGCCCAGAAAAAACTCCAGTCCTGAAATATTGGCCCAAAGATAACTTTGAACTTGGAATTCCGTATGTCACAATCCGCAGCTATTACAAAGGTCACAAGAACGAAATTTAATGCCATACATTGCAATTATAAGACTGTAAGATTGGTCTGAACTTGCCACAGAATTATAAGGGAAATTATAAAGATTCTGATATAAGTTGATTGATAATGTACAAAATTACTAATGTAATGAATTTGTATAATGAAAGTTGACATGGGTCTCAAATACTTGTAAACTTCAGAATTTTATATACACAGGATGATTTTTTTTTATGGGGACTGCAGAGGAGAATCCCAGAGAAGATAAGAGAACAGCATGGAAGATATGCACAAGTTCCTTGCTAGAGGCCAATAATATTCCCTATGATAGTGCATCCACCATTCGTGGTTCCCCCTGTAAACAAACCTTTCTCCGACAAACGGTGAAACTCTACATTTTGTGGTGTGTTCACTGAGAGTGGGGATGAATTGAACAGTACTGCCATCTGCTATTGCCATTTTCCTGCCCGTTCACTTTAAAACCAGGTTGGGCTGCTTCTCAATGGAGTATCAGGTCATATTTTCACATTGCTTTGCCCATCCAATTTTTTGTTGAATTGGCAACAGCATTGAAGTGCAACTCCCTTACTAAAAAACTCTAGTCTGGACTTCAGGGAGTACTCTCTTTGGGATCGTTATTGCCCTCTAGCAGAAACCAGTGCATTTCCGTAAACATTCAACATTTTTTGTTCCTTGTCCTCTCGAGGATCATCCCATCTATTGTGTCTATATAAACAATACATACGTGCATATAATGAAGGGTTTATGGCAGGGGTTCTCATACTAGTTCACACCCCCAGTGGCTTTCAGTAGGCTCGAGAGTGGTATCTGAACAAATTCCATTGAAGAATTTGAAGAAATTAAACTGCAAAGCTCAAGCCGACTCTGGATATTCAAGTTATTGTAATATCTGAGTACAAATACTTTGTTATAAAGTTGTGTTTTTTTCCCTATTCTTGTAATGATTTACTAAGAGATTTCAAATACTTTAAATAACATTTAAAGTCTTAGCATTTAGGGTTATTTTGTTGTGAAGAAACATTTGACTTTTAGGAAAGTGCAAAGATGTATATTATTTTAAAATGTTTGAGAACCTCTGGTCTATAGCAATGGCAGACAATACATTTTTACCATTGATCAATATGCAGCAGAGTGGATTAAATGCTGTATCTTGCCTGGAACTTTTAGATTCCCTTTATTGATGTACCTAAAATGGCATTTATTCATTTTTAATAATTGATCTGCCAAAGCCTTGTCTTAATGAATGGTTGCTTATAAAAATATTTAGATTTTATTTATGCATTTGAGCTTTCATTTTTATGCTACATTGTAAGCAAAGAAGGAAGAAATGCAATGGATTTGATCCATTATCTGCAGGGAACAAGAATTAAACTTCATTAATTTTTGTATGTATTGTTGCTGCAATTTTTTATTCTTGTTGCCTGAAAAATTACTTCTTAGAAGGTATTGTTATGGTGCTGAAATTAAAATAGTAGTAATGAGATATATGGTGGATCTTTTGTGAAATTTAATACAAGAGATGTGAAATCAGTATTTGGTGTGACATGCACCTCATTGTAGATATAGATACAAAGGTACACTGAAGTAATGTATATGTAATCCTTCTTGTACACTGGAATTCAAGTGTGACTGCACTCTGTTCTTTGATAGTACATGACTGAATCCTCAACTTTGATAAAACACAGTTAATTAACTTTGGCAAAAAGTATTTTTGGGCTCTGTTCATCCCAACCCCCTCCCTTTTGTACACTTTGCTCCACATGGCATATAATGTACCATGAATGTGTCTTATTTTTCTACAGTGTACAATACTACATTTTCAGCGAAGTATATTTTATAAATGTTCGGTAAGAAACATCTGTGATGTAGATAATTGTATTTTTCTTTTAGCAATATTGTAACACCCTACAATAACACATTTAGTAATGGGGGTGAAGGCACAGTATTTACTAATCTTTCATTAAATGTGTGTGAAGTATTGCAATATGGCTACCAATGTGTACCAAGTGAGTGGAAATAGATTATTAATGTTCACATGTTTGTAGGGTAAAGAATCTAATGCTACTCACAAATTTGAAATTTCTTCCATGAGTATACTACCCTGATACTTAAACCAAAGATTTTAATTAATTTTGTAATTTACATTTCACTCCTTGGAATGTGAGTAATTTTTCAAGGAATATTTATGTACCTCATTATTTTACCAAATGTAGCAATATATATGTAGAAATATTTTGGTGATAAGATTTGACGTGTTAACAAATGTATTTTACCAGTGTCTAAATAATAATGTTAAATATTATGAAATTAATATTTTTCCTCTTCCTTTTTTTTCCTATCTGGTTTCTCCTATCTTCCTCCATTAGGTTTAAAGAAACAATTTTTTTTCTTAAGTTTGATTACTTTGATTTGCTAATTTGTTTTTTTGGGGGCAGATCTTATTAATTTGAACAAGAATTCTATTGGGGAAAAGGACAATAATACATTAAGTATATATTAAAAATCGGAATAGTTTCTTCTGAGAAGAAAAATGATCCCATAACTTCTGGAATGATAAAGAGTTATTGAAAATTATTATTACAACTTCTACTACTTCAAGAAAGATTCACAATTAAAGATTAATTTCCAGGTTAAATAGAGCTCAATTACTTATGCTGGTTCCATTTCCTTAGACAAATTATTGGGATTCTACGTTCATCATAGAGACATAATTTATTTGAAAATTTGCTACTGTAAGAAAGGATTATTAAAGTAAATTATGTTTAAGATTCTAGAGAATAAAATTATTCTAGTTCTGATCTCTGTTTATTATGAGTAGCCTCAAGTTTTCTGAATTCTAGTTTTTAATGTCTATAATGTGCTTGGAAAACAAATGCAGTGTGTCAATATTATTAAATAAGAATGAGAGAAACTGCTCCAACAAAATTTAATATTGAAGCTTGAAATGAAAAACCACACAGGATGTTTTGTTTGAAATTAAATTGTATTGTGCATTAGTAAGTACAAAAGAGTTCATGTATTTATCTAAATAAATCATTCAACCACCAACATATTTTATGTTAGTAACAGTTACTGTTTGCAGTATACAAGCAGGCTTATGGAATGTTTTACATTCAGTTTTCCATGGTTATTATGAACAAGTCTCGCCACGATAAATGACAATATTTTTTTCTGTTTCATGAATTTTAACTTCATATAAAATTGATGGGTTTGGTAACATCTGGAAGAGATTATTCCATATAAAAATGGCCACATTCTCAGTTGTGCTTACAACATCTTTAAAATATAATACATCCTTATCCAAGTTCTTGTGATCCATAGTTTCCATGATAGCTTTGTTCATGAATTGTTTGAGAGCTGCAATATTCATGACCATCCCTGTATCAGAAGAAACTGGGCCTCGGACAGTTACTTCAACTAAAAAATACCAGAAGTATGAATAAGTGAAAACAACATTTTTACATTCCAACACTATTTTATTGTTATAGTACAAATTTCTTACCAACGTAATTATGGCCATGACCATGGAAATTATTACACTTTCCATATACGGCTTTGTTTTCTTCCTCAGACAACTGGTCACTAAAAGTATGAACAAAGTTTATGAGAGAGCTCATTAAAAGTACATCACCATAAAAATATGCTTACCTGTGTAATCGGTGGCAAGCACTAAATATCTCTTTGCGGGTCAAATAAGCAAGTGGAGCCCCCGGCATTATGAACGAGTTTAACCTATATGTATCGCGTGTTCAGAGATGAATAAAGCTTACTGGACTTTCTAAGAAAGGTAGTTTCTACACGGACGGACTAGTCGGGTTAGCTTTATTTTTATTTTCTTGTGGTTTGGGGTTTACGTAACCTCATGCATTCCCCCAAAGTGGGAACGGCGGGGAATTAGTATTTCAGAATTCCCGCAGTGTCTTGTTGTACTGACGAGCACTGAAGCAAGAGAGAAAATTAGGATTAAACGGATCGCGCTTTGCCTTTTGCACTTTGGACCACGGACGCAAATGACAATCATTACCCAGCGTTCAGTTTCGGTAGGTCAAGACGAGAGTGCGGTTACTTGGTTAAATAATGCTGGCATTGTGAATGGATATATTTTAGGAACAGTATAGAAAAATAGCGTAGATCCATTCTTTGAGGTCCTATACTGCGCTGCCAGCCCGCACAATGTTTTCTACAACTACGAAGAACGTTTCTCGGACTTTTCAGGTATTTGTAATTCGCAGCATGTTACTTAACAGCGTAATGATGTGGCGAGAATTCATAGCAAATAAATGAACTGCATTGATATTTTTTGAATATATATTGCTTTGCAAATGCATTACCAGTATCATTGCCGATATTGACAAATCGTAACTTTACAGCTGGCAGCACAATTGAAAAGGCTACAGAGTACTTTGGTTATTGCCGAGCACAATAATGAAAAGTTATTGCCCATCACTCAGAATGCACTCACAGCAGCTAAACAGCTTGGAGGAGAAGTTTCTGTTTTAGTTGCTGGGACAAAATGTGGCCCAGTAAGTCTGTGGATGGATATAGTTGGTAAATTTCAATATAAATTATAGATAATTTGCAATTTACCTTCACTTTTAATCACTTCCATAGGTGGCTGAGGAAGTAGCCAAGGCATCAGGTTTGGGTAAGATATTAGTAGCAGATAATGAAGCTTTTAATGGCTTCACTCCTGAGAGTTTAACTCCTCTCATTCTTGCCACACAAAAGCAGTTCAACTTTACCCACATTCTGGCTGGTGCTACTGCTTTTGGTAAGGCACTTTTGCCTCGAGTTGCAGCTAAACTTGATGTATCACCTGTGACTGATATTATTGGGATAAAAGCACCTGATACTTTTGTGAGAACTATTTATGCAGGTGAGTGATATAGAGTAAGTATTTCATCTGGAGTGTAATTGGAAGATTGTATTAAAATCACTAAAAACATGTTCCACTTGTGTTTCAAATACAAAAAAAGATCTCGCTGAACAGTATCTTGCAGCATATAGCGATTATAATTGATGTGTACAGGTGTAACTGTTATCTAATTTGGAGGAAATTGAAATAATTATAAATAGGAAGGAGTGGGAGTGGAGCTCCCCAGATTCAAATTTGTTTCAAAAATTGCAAAAAATTGCAACAATAATATTGACTCTTACACAGTGATGCATTTTGCTTGTTCTGTCTAAACAGTGGTATCACTTGAAACTTTTTATGTACATGCAAACTCCTCAGATATGAAAGATATAAATCCTACTCTTTTATAGTATTTCCTAAAAGTGGAATTTTATGGAGTTTTTCATAGTGTAAATGTGAAGTTGATCAAAGTGTAATGTGTTTTTAGACAACTACCCATTATTGCTGTAGGTTAAACACAAAATAATATTTTGTCTTGAAGTTTTTACTAATGATCACATTTGAAGACATCTGAAATGAAATTGTATAACAGAAAACAAACATTAACAAAGCCAGTTTTGACTTCCTCAAATACTGGGAGATTGATTAATGAATGAAATATTTAGAAGCAACTCTTCTTAACTTCAGCAAATATTTTGTTTCACATTTTCCTAAGATGTAAAATTTCAATTTTCATTTAAACTTTGGTATTTGAAAAATTACATACACTTATTTATTCATAGTCTTCACTGAATCCTGTAAAGACTTTTTGTGTTTTAAATATTATTAAGGTGGTCATAGTCTGAAGTTGGCTGTTGAGTCAAAAAAGAAAAAAAGAAAGATAAATGATGAATTTCAAGGTAATACTAGCTTGGAAATAATAGTGTGAATTTTTCTAATTATTAATTATCTATCAGAAATACTTAGTGCTATGTTACAAGACCCTGTCTCGATTGAGAAGCATTTTCAAAACCTGTTTCAGATGTCCCATTTTCAAAAACAAAGATTCTAAAAAATAAAAGTAGATACCCCCAACAAAGTGAACATGTATACCTGTTTGTATTTATGATCACATGAGTATGTGTTTGTGATTTAGAAGTTTAAATAGTTATACTGAACATCGATAAATTCAAAACTTGTGGTGCTCAATTTCTTGACAGGAAATGCTGTTTTAACACTAAAGTCGAAAGATGCTGTGAAGATAGTTAGTGTGAGAGGTACTAGTTTTGAGCCTGCCCCTCTTGAAGGAGGGTCATCAAAAGTAGAACAAGCTCCAGCAGGTGACTACAAACAAGATCTCACCCAATTTCTGAGTCAAGAATTGAGCAAAAGTGACCGCCCTGAACTGACAAGTGCTAAAGTTGTTGTCAGTGGTGGTAAGTAAAAATTCCTGGGTCCTTGATTTTGTTTGGGTAAGAAGGAAGAAATAAATATAATGTCCCAGAAAATTTTAATTATTTTGTGTTAGTGTGAGAAAGTATTGACAATAGAAAAATGTTCTCAATGGTCAATTTATCAAATGAGTACTTCACCCCATGGCTTGCTTTCTGACAGTGAATATTGTTTTAATCCCATTCCTCCTGCCAGATCAAAATTTAGTGTTTTTTATATATTTTTTTAATTATATTTCTTTTTCTATGACAACTTCAAGAGTTTTCTTAGACACTTAATTTCCATAGGTATTTCATAAAGGGTAAGATCCATAATAAAACTAATATTTATGAATGTATTTTGAAGGTCGGGGTATGAAGTCAGGCGATAACTTCAAGTTGCTGTATGACCTTGCTGATAAGCTGAATGCTGCTGTTGGAGCTTCACGAGCTGCTGTGGATGCTGGATTTGTTCCTAATGACTTGCAAGTTGGCCAAACTGGCAAAATTGTTGCTCCTGTAAGTAATTTTTTTCTAAATTTATGAAAATGCAATTGTAAGTGTAAGCCAAAAAAGTTTCCAGGCTGTGCAATATATTTTATTTGTGAAATATACTTTTCTCATTTTTGACTTTTACAATTGGTGCCTGAGACATGTGAACCAAAAGCAAATGCTAGAGGACTGTAATTTGTTGATATGGAAATTCGTTAGAAAATGTTAATGTTTAATGAAAAAGTGGTTGTGTTGTGGAGTTTATTGATAGGCAGAGAGCCAAATTTAAGCAGATCTGATATGTGTATCATATTGTTATATTAGTGGTATAAAAATGTTAGTTTTAAGGGCAATACTTTTGTGAATGTGTGGTTGTGAGTGGACATGTTAATGTATTTCCTCTCTGACCAGTTTCTTCCTGGAAGTAAGTAAGCATTTTTTTCTTTCTTCCAGGAATTGTATATTGCTGTAGGAATTTCAGGTGCTATCCAACATCTGGCAGGAATGAAGGATTCAAAGACTATTGTAGCCATCAACAAGGATCCTGAGGCTCCTATTTTCCAAGTGGCTGACTACGGTCTTGTTGCTGATTTATTCAAAGTTGTTCCAGAACTTACTGGAAAATTGTAATTCATTTTCAATTTGTATATTATTACCAGTAATTCTGACTGAGTGTGCTCATTTAGGCAGTAGTATACAAAACATACAAAACATATAATGCATTTTTGAATTGTCGTCATTTCAAAATAAGATCTTGTTGAAAATGCTACTGACTTCAGTTTATGTCTGTTATTTGTCATTTTTATTCTAAATATTGTTACTTCCCTTGTATATTTCAGTACATCACTATTAAAGAGTGTATTTTTGTACTATTTCTAGATTAAAGTTACTATATGAATTTAATGTTTGATTTTTGTTTTCACCTTACAAACACACTTAAGTTATTTCATCCATTTTATAATGTGTATTTATTATCTTTTACGATATTGAGATTGCTATTAAAACTGCTGTGCGAGTCATTATGTCAGTTTGATTGAACTGATTATGACATGCCATGAGAACTATTGATGTTGATACGACAATACATTACATATGTATAAGAATACACATGTAAGTTACTAAAAATGTAAAAATGCTTTTTTATTATGCCTGTTCTGAATGAGCATTTCTGTAAGGATGTCTGAGAAAAAAAATCTTGCATTCGTTAAAGCTGTCTGCCTTTGCAGTAGCAGTCTGGGGGTGGGGATGTACACTTGTATGGAATTGGGGGCTATACCAGCAGTGGAATAGATACTGTTGTATGAAACTTTAAAGAGGAGCAATGATGATCAGGTGGTTGATTAGAGATGACCAATGCCTGATAGTAGGTAGAATCAAGATCCTTTTGATTGCAAAATAAAAATTACTGAATTGTTTTCTTGCATTCAGCTTCTAAACATATAATATTACTTGTCTATATTTGTGAAAATTTAAATTGTACAAAAATTGCTTAAAACTAATAAACAATTCAAAATTGGTATTCACATTTTTTGTATAATTGTTGCCAAATCATTGATGTGGAATTATTTGCATTATGATTATATTGTATCATGCAAGTTACAGAAATAATGAAGGGAGTTGAAGAAAAGCATTCTTTTAAAAGAGGTTGATAAGGAGGATATTGGGTATCCCTGTACTTTAATCACTTAATTATACAGAGGACCAAGTTAACTTCGGTGAGGAGGAAGACTATGTTGCTGCAAGAATTAAATAAGCCTGTGAAATAAATTTTTGTTTTGTGGCATGGTTGTTCAGTACACCAAACCTAATTTTGGGTACTTAAGATCTGCTTACCATTTTTACCTATCCTATATCTATTTTGTGCCATGCAGAAAATAAGTATTTAAGTTTTAAAAATTTCTTGTTTGCAAGCATATTTTGAAATGTGTAAAACACTATAAAATATGTTAAAATAATAATTGCATTGATACAATTGTTTAAAATGGATAGAAATTTTAAACTCGCTGCAGGAAAACTATGCTCTGGAGCTCTGCTTTGTTGTAAACAAACGCTAAGTTGAGTGACGTTTATGGACCTTGTGCTATCTCTTATTAATCTCCTACAGTAGTCTTGTATCATAGACTTCTCCCATCGATTCTGGTACTTCATTTCCATTGGTTTCATTTCTTTATGAAATATCTCTCGCTGTTCTTCACTTGGTACTCCTAAGTTTCACAGAAAGTACTGAAGGTGGGATTGGAGAAAAGGTAACTTCAAGCTCACATTACATCTCAAGTACCTTAATTGTGTTGAGCTTTGTTTTAGTAGTATATATTGGACATCTTTTATGCTACCTAGACAATTGTTCTGAAGAATTGAATTGAAGTTCTATGTCTTGTGCTTTTAAAACTGGCAACTTCACATAGTTAGCGAATGTGTGGGCTGTCGAAAACGCCTTCTCTCACTTTGCTTGCTGAGAACAATGGAAACTTGCACAAGATACTGAAAGCAAGAGCCAGTTTTTCCCAAAGTTTTTACAAATTGCTTCATGATTTCCAGTTTGATTTGGAAGGGAGGTGGCAAAATGTTTTGCGAGTCAATAAGTGGGCAACATTTAAGCGCAAAAAGCTCTCTGCCAATGAATTCAGTGTATTCTACTGATTACAACAAGCAACAATGACCTAAATTCGTATGGAATACACATGTTTCAAATTAGCATTCTTGATATCGCTAGCAAGAAAATGAAAATGGATAGATAACTATAATAACTAAATATAATATTGTTATATTCATCAAAACTATTCGGTTTTTACACGCATTACTCGTCATGCCTATTATGCATAGCGAAATAATCTATTCGTTTTCACATTTAACTCAAAAGGCGCTATTTAAAATATATTTAATTAAATAATATTAAATGTAATCTTTCTTTTTAAGATTCAAATGAACTGACTCATAAGGATTTCATGACAAAAATCCAACAAAGAAGAATTCAAGACATTTTATAATTTTATCTCGTCGCCGTTCAACAATGCACATCTCAAATTTCCATCGCTGCATTGTTTCCCATGGCAACGAAGGTGATAATATGAAATTGAAGTTAAAATGTCCATGCTTTACAGTGTACTAATTGTTTTCAATTTTTCTTTCATTTGAAGTAGGTATTAGAAATAATGCTAAAATACTAAACGTGGATTCTAGCTGCACCACGTGTTAGAGAATTTTTTTACTAAATATAGCAACTATTAATCCACTTTTTCGATACCAGAGCCTGGTAATAAGAGTTTCTCTGCAGAAAATTCGCTGTTTTTCGCAAAGTATTACATAACTTTCCTTCTACTGCATAAAAGGTAGCGGGAAAGTAATAAATGTAATTTTTTACGTTTAGTTTTTTTAAGAATTTTTCAAATGGTAGTTGAAGTGTAAGACAGAAATTGTCATATTATAATCTTACATAGCCATTAACAATATCGCCTGAAAGTATGTGCTGTTGTTACACCACGAGTTCTTATTATAACCAGCTACTTTATTTAGTCAAAAATAACAATCGTTGGAATAATGTCGTTGTTCTTGCCAAACCATGGGGGCACTAAACGGCATAGATGAACGACGTACTTTATAACATTGTCTTAAATTTTCTACTTAAGTTTGACAATGTATATGTGGACCGAGCTTGTCCGTATCTCCCAATTTAACTTTAAAATAGGTGAGGTACAAACTTTTGATCATTGGGGAAATGTTTCTTTTCTGCTTTCTGATCACATTAACTTGGATTAAAATATTAAGTCCGTTGACACTTGATTAGCTGTGACGCTTTCATCGAATCGGGATCGTAAACGTCACCACAATGACAGGAGGTTAAACTACAGTGACCTCTTCTCGGTGTACCACTGAAACGTACCATTTTTTCCACTAATAAAAATTCCAAACAAACGATACACCGTTAAACAAGAACCATTCACACATGAGAATGACACGATCCTTTGGGCACATGCTGAGGAGCCCAGCTCTGCGCGTGCCGCGCTGCTCGGAAAGATTGTTGATGAAGATCATTCAATAATAAACGAGACAAATTGGTGTGGGGAAAAAACCGTTGGTAGGACAAGTTCGGTAATTTTAGAACTATAAATTGGCATCTCTGGGATGAGTCCTTACCATCATTGTTGCGTTTATTACCTCAAAATTAAGGTGAACGTCAGCGTATCCACTTGAAAATTCTACATTGGTTGAACAACGTTCTAAGATTTTTTCTTACTTGCTGAAGGTGTGAAAAAACAGCTAATATATCCTCTAGAATGACTAAAGTGTATGATGAAAGTTGTATGATACGCGGAAATGTTTACAAGTGCGTAGAACATTTCAAAATTGGTCAAGACTCAGTGACTGACGAACATGGTTCTGGCCGAATCAGCAGAAAAAGTCCTGTTGAGAGTGTTATGGGACGCTGTAGGTGCGTTTTTTTATTATCTCGAGAAACGGCGTACAATAAACAGAAAATTATACTCAGATATGGTTTTAAACAAGGTGCAGCCAATCTAGAGAGAGAGCCAGAGAGAGAGAGAAAGAGAGAGACGTAGATATCAGAGGAGAGGTGTGCTTCTCCAGCAAGACAACACGCGTCCTCACACTGGTCAACAAACACGTGAAACCATCGACAAAATGGGTTGGGAGGTACTGCCTCATCCCCCTTACAGGCTCAATTGAGCCCCATCTGATTTCCATTTGTTTGGTCCACTGAAGGAGGTATTAAGTGGGAAGAAAAGTCAGGATAATGGGAATGTCAAAAATGTGGAGGAAATTGGTTCAAACACCAAGAAAAACGTTATTTTCAGCGGGCATAAAAAAGCTAGTCACCCGCTGGGACAAGAGCATAAATGTTGGTGGGGATTATATTGAAAAGAAGGAAATGTCCTGATTTGCAAAAATAAACGTTTATTTCTCCAGACCAATGTGTCTCTTTAATTACACAGGCACACAAAAGAAGTCGTCAGACCTAAAGACTTGACACATGTTTCTTATGTATTTGAACGCGCTGAATTTGAATCTGAAGCCTGAATTGTGCCTTCCTCCTCTTTTTTTTGTTAACATAAAAAAACATGACATGTATTTTTGGTTTTCGGGGGTAGTTGCAGACTCAAAGACTTGCCACATGTTTATCTTTAAATGTCGACGCACTGAATTCGAATCTGAATTCAGAATTGCGTCATATTTGTGGACCCTTAATAACGAAAAATCGATTGACAGCAATGCGTATGTCTGACCGTCTGTCTGTGGTCAACTCTAGAGTCTAAACCGTTCAGGTGCTTTTCTACAAAATTGATATTCCCTATTGAAATGAACAAACTCACTGCTTTGCGGTACCTAATTTTTTACATGAAGCGTCAACATTTTCTCAAAAATTAAAAATGTCTCCGATATTTTTGATTAACATTTGATTTTACTAGAGTAAAGTACCCTTAAAGGATCTCAGATCTCGCAGATCTCATTTTCACTGAAATCCCAAATATTTTGAAAATTGTACAATTTCAAAATGTTTTCAGCGGCTCACTACAACTACAAAATCGAAGATTTTTTTCTCAAAAAATCTGTTGTTCGAAATTAAAATGTTCTAGAAATACAGTCATGTATAATCTTTCAAAAATATGACAAGTGTTTGCGTAATTTTACATGAAAGATAGACAATTTTTTTTTCAAAAACGCCTCCCAATATTTTTTGTTTAAGTTTTTTAGGTATTAAAATACGGTAAAAAATTGTCACTGGTTCCATTTCCTACGAAATATATATTTTTGGAAATTGAAAAAAATTAAAATGACAAAAGCACAATACTGAAGTTTTTTGACGTATATTAAATGTGTTCTAAAAAATTAGATGTTTAAAAAATATCATATGCAAGTTTTATGTGAAACTCGCGAAGGGACTAAAACCACAAAATTCAACATCATTCCCTTCCCAAAAAATGTTCGACACGATCTTTATTTCCGAAACTTCTTCAAACGAAATCCTGAGAATAGTCAGTAAACTAAAAAATTAATATTCATCTGGTTTACATGAATTTCTAAGTTTTTTATTGAAAACGTGTGTACATTTATACACCCGTTAACTCACATTTTCAATGCTTCTATATGCACAGTAATATTTCCAGATATTTTTAAAACATCACAAATTAAGCCACTTTTTAAAAAAAGGAAACAAGAAAGGAATTGAAAATTAAAGGCCAATTTCTCTTTTGTCAGTTTTCTCAAAAATATTAGAGAGGCTTTTCTATTCGCGAATGGACACTTTTCTCATGAAAAACGAAGCGTAAAAAATACAATTTTCTTGAAAATGGCTCAAAATGTTTCAGAGAAAATTGCCATTTAGGACGAGGTTTTACTGTTCTTTAATTTTCTGAAAATAATATTTCCGTATTACTATTAGGAAACCAAAAAATTAAGAACATTTTTTAAAAAAAGTACTTTGAGCGGCGATAGATTGCAGCAGGGACGTCAGTATGTGACAAGTCGGATTAGGAAGCCCAAACAAATGGAAATAGAACAT